ATATTCCAGAAGACTTCACAGGTAGAGGGATATACATACTACCTAGCAGATTGTCATTTTTGTATATGTAACTGCTGAGCATCAGAATGCAAAGAGGAGTGGGGAGGGAGAGGGCTGTTTCCTGTGAGCCAAATTTAATTGGCTGAACGTTTATTTTGTTGTTTGGAGTTACGTGACTGAGCCGATGGCAGAATGTTGGCATACGATTTGAGAATCAATTTTCTTGTTTCCATCTAAACCAGCCCTCGGTTTGAACTGCCAATGGGAACCACAGAGCAACCACCACTGCCTCAACCGACACAAACACAGCAAAAGGTACAGCAAAAGGTTCCCCTGCCTCCCTTACACACCCACCCTCAAAGCGTTTCCCACCGTGCTTTAAAAGAGGGTATCTTGTCTAGTGGTCAGAACTGGACACCTGGGCTCTTGGATTTGGCTTGCTGGAAAGCCTTGGAGAAATACTCAGTGAATGAGGGAAAACCTTTCCTATTTTACAACAGGGTGCGATATTCTTTTGAAATCAAGAACTTGGAAACAAATCCTAATAAATTGCAGAGCACTGTCCCTTCTCTCTCCTTCTCCTAGCCCTCTAATGTCTGCCATCTGATCACAACAGACTGCTGCTGCCTTCATCCTGGGACTGTGGTGTTTTGCTTTGTCCTGTTTCTCCCCTCGCCTTGGTTAACCTTCTCAATCATTAGTACTGTCCTCCAGCTCGGAGGCCAGCAGCGGCAGTTCTGTTGCTTGGGGCATTGCCTTGAAGGGAGGGTGCCACGCAAGAATTAAGCAGTGAGCAACCCTGTGTGCCATTATAGCGATGAAAGCCCTACAATTGCTCCAACTTGACATGGAGATCTAGTCACAGAACACCCCCACATTAGATAGAAGCACATCGTATGTGGTTGTGCAGCAATCTGCCAGTTTTTGTACTCTGCATGACATCTCTCGGTGATGGCAATGATATTTTAGCAGCCTAAACCTACTCTCTAAATCTGCTTTCCAGAGAAAAGCAGGATTGCTAGGCTTTGTAAGCTGCAGTGCTTGATTTCATCTCTCTGGTGCTCCAGCTGGCAGAGCACCCACACAGATTTGGAGGAAAATTGATGATTTGATGTATGGGGTGCTCTTTTCCATTCTTAACAAAATAACAACCATAAAAGTCTTTATCCTTGATGCACTTAACGAGTCAGAATTCTCTCCTAACCGACAGAGGACACCCCAAGTCATTGGAGTCATGCAGTCTCAAAATAACAACACTGGGAACAGAGGACCCCGGCCGTTGGAGCAGGTCACCTGCTACAAGGTAACTCAGGGGGAGTGAAGAGGAGGGAAAGCGGAGGGTGCTAGATTTAAAGTACAGAGTGCACGTCACCTGGACTACATCATGCTGCTTTGCTGCTGGTTGCTTGTCACGGGCAAAGGAACAGACTGTTGTGATGAGGGGTGGGGTCCTGCAAAAGTTGGGGTTTTTTTTTTTTTTTGCAGTGTGAACAGGTTCACGAAACATGTGCTCTGCTCAGTAGACATTGCGTTTTGTGTGTGGATACAGCTGTGGGAATTAGCGTTGGGTTCTGAGCCCTCTGGGTCACTGGTTTGGCAGCTCATGGACTCGCTGTGACAAATAAGGCTGCTGTAGGACAGACTTTGCTCGTCTGCTAATAAACAGGAAGCCCTACCACGATGACAGTCAAAGGAGACTGACAAAGTGTAGACTTCAAAATAAGAGCTAATATTAGTTTTGTTAATATAGTTTTGTTTAATATTAGTTTGAGATAATTGGCTTATACTTGGTGATTGCAGAAAGATTTTTTTTATTTTTTTTTTCTCCCCTGTTAGCATGGGAGGTCCTTGTGAGTAATAGAAATTGAATATGCAGAGACTGGTCAGTGTTTCAGCTGTAAATGCAGCCCCTCACTGTCAGACCAAGGAATGAGCTATTGACCTTGGTTGCTTGTTGAGGAGCACCTGTAAAATTTTGACACAACTGAGTTTCCATCTCTGGTTATTTTTCCGCAAAAGCCCCAACCCTAGCCACTAGAAAAGGGCAAAGAATCTTCCTTGTCCTGTCAGCTTTGACAGTTGGCTTTGTACGTGCCAACTTCTGTGCCTTAGGTGCTTGTTTGGGTAAAAATGAGAGGGATATTAAGTAGCTGGATCCATTTCACTGAAAACCTTTAACAGCTGCTTACTATTTCAGCTGCAAGTAAATTACATACCTGGAGAATGCTGTAGCATCAGATCCTGGCATTTCTCTCTGGGCTTGAACAGCTTCAAGGTGCAAAGTCATGTATCTCTTGTTCAGATGCGCTGTTCTCTGTCTAATTCAGGGTAGTGGATGAGGAGAGTCCCTGTGTGTCTCTGAGGTAGTGCATGTCAGGTGGAGTAGTCCCGGAAGCCTCAAACACTGAAATTCTTGTGTGTTACAGCCCTTTGCCATTTGTAGCGGTGCGCTGAGAGCTCTCTCCTTTGTAGTGCGTTACAATTGCAGCTTTTGCTCCAAGGAGTAGAAATAGCCCATAAATCATGTCCCTTGTGACACTGTGTTTCACTTCACCTGCTAAAATGCTGCGTCTTCTGTACTCAATAAAGCTTCCAAACTGGAACAGTTGCCAGCTACCCTACTAAAGGCAGCTAGAGGGGAAAAAAGCTGTAACCGTGTAATAACTCCTCTTTCTCTCTCTCTCTCTTTTAGTGTGGTGAAAAAGGTCATTATGCCAACAGATGCACCAAAGGACATCTGGCCTTTCTCAGTGGACAGTGAAAGAGCTGAACGAAGAGCGCGAGGGAGCTATTAACACTGAGAAAAGGTTTCTGCCTAGCACTATGTCTTGAACTATTAGTCAGGTTGTTTTTTTAATGCCATTACTGAAAGAACTGGTCAGAGGCTGGCTGCTGCTAAGCAACATTTTTGTAATTGTCCACAACTTTTTTTTAAGTTTTAACCTTTTTAAAATAGATTTTGGCCTCCGCCTATTTTCATTGAGCCCTGCTGAGAGGTAGATCTAAAAGCCAATAGATACACAAACCCCTCACCGGTGCAGCACTCTACGTAAACACATCTTACGCCAGTGTTTCTTTAAAGTGTTTTCCTTCTGCCACTTCTCTTTGGAGAACCTGCAGCGTTTCAGCCCTCCCTGTGGAAGCAGGAAGACTGACTGGGAAAACTAACACCTGAAATGCCTTCCCTTCAGTGAGAAAGCAGGGATTCTGCTGTCCTGTAGCTCTTAAAAAGCAAGGTCTTGTTCCCAGGTCCAGCCTGTTGTAGTCGGTAAGCTTGTCCTGGTGGCTGACTTAACGCATCACGTACATCAGGCTGTAAAACTCTCATCCACTTGCTTTGTTTCTGTGCTTCTTGCTATAGCAAAGGTTAGAAATTAATCCTCTGGGTGAGAACTGATCAAGGGGAGAATAAATTGGCATCTCTGTGGTTAGCCAGTGAGGAAGAGTGATTGTAGGAAAGCTGTGTCTGTGTTCATTTTCCATTTGTGAAAAGCAAGGAGGGAAATGAACACGGCCTGAAGAGTAGGAATAGAAGAGCCTTGCCTCAGAGCCCCTGTTGTCCAGCCCACATTGAACAGGTATTTCCATAGCCTAGAGAAAACCAAGAAGTGGAGATGTATTTTCTTATGGAACACTGCTTTTAAAAGTGGTAGAGCATCCAAGAGCAATTTTTGCAAGCCAAAACCCATTCACTTTGTGAGCAGACTATTTCAAAAGGGCCAATGATAAAATGTGAATTAAAAAAAAAAAAAAATTGCACCTACAACATGAGCCTTATTGATTCTAACCCCTCTCTCATTTGCTGACCGCCTTTATACTTTGTTTTTATTGAAATGTACTGATGGAAAAAGCTGGCTGTGACTTCATTTTTTAAGAACAAAGTAATGTGACTAGATTAAGAGAAGTGACCAGAGCCTACATTGGTTTGAATGACTGCGGTTATTTCACTGTGGAGTGTCAGGGTTGGTCAAAACAGAAGTTTCAAGTCTGACTGTGGTACGAGAGACCATCGGACACTTCTCGTTGTGCCCCCAGCAGCTGAGCAATGGCCAAAGGACGAGATGTTAAGTTACTGGTGCGTAACTAGGCACGTGGAAAGGCAATGGCAGCACTTTGCTGTCTGGTGACCTTCCCCCTCTACTTCAGGGGTTTCTGGTCTTTGCTACCTGAACTGATTTTTTCCCAAATAGAAAGCCTTCCTGTTACCGCTGAAGCTCTTGAGAGTTTTCTTCATATCCCTTAAGAAGTGTTTTTTACTCTCTCTCCTGTTCAGAAAAGGATGCTGCAGGTTCTACCTGCAGTGCCTGGCTGTGGGCTGAAGCGTCAGCGGGTGGGGTGGTGAGAGCAGGGTGGGAGGGAGGTCAGCAGCCGAGGCCCAGCCCGTGGATGCTCCCTTAAGCTCCATTTATGCACACGGTGTCTCCCATTAAACTTCTCACTGCTGCGTTTAAGTCAAGAAGCAAAGTTCTTCAGTTTAACTTCATGAACCTTCATTACGTTAAAGGTCTTTTAAGCTTTTACCTGTTCGGACAACCTTCCAGCTTCTCTTAGTGATGAAAGTAGGTAGAGTTTTGACAGAAATGGGCTATCAGAGGTAAGAAGCATTAGAATCCCAGTGACAGAATGAGAGTTGCAGACCTTAAAGCTCAACTGCTCTCATCTGAGGCTGCTCGGCAGCGATGGGAAACTCTCCGATACCTACAGTCCCTGGGGGACAGCCTGACCCAGAATCAGAACCCCCTGGCCACGCTAACAACCCTCTTGAAGCTCAGACACCATTCTTTCAAATCAAAATATTGTATCCTTTCAGCTAGTTGTCCAACCTGTACATAATGGCCATTAAGAAGCAATCCAATGCTTTTTTACTTTTATCAAAGAGTTCAATAGGAATCATGTTGTAATAGTTTCCCCAGTTCCTAATGCAACCCAAGTAGCGGATGCTTCCCCTCTGAACTTATCCTTGAGGGGTGAAACTTAAGACAAACTCACTTGCACAACTGTACCATTAACAAGTCTTTTATGAGAGTGCCAGCTTGGTCAATGTAAAGTGTATGCACTTTATTATTGGTCATAACAGTACAGATTTTCATATGAATAGCTCCGATGTCTTCTGTCGGGATAAGCGTTCCAGTAGCCAAGGCTGTTCAGAGAGCTGTGCCTTCACTTCCTGAAATTCACACTTCAGTGGTACTTCCTGTGGCGGTCATGCTCTGGATCATTCAAAGAAAAGCCAGTTAATTTTACTGAAGTCACAAGAAAAAAACCACAAAACACCTGAAATTAAAGGGAAGAAAGCACTCTTAAAAAAAAAATAAAAATCTGAGCATGTAGTTTCTAAGTACTGTCAGGTTAGATAGATAAGATCTAAGCTTTCTTCATCACTCAGAAAGTATTGGCCAGCTGATAACTTACTAAAAGCATTCAAGTTCTCTACAGCTAGAAGAAATCCGCCTGCCCGCAGTCCTGGATTCCAGCAGCAATGGTTAGCACAGTCTTTCATTTTATTTCTAAGAACAGCAGCAGATTCATTGTTTTTATTGCCCCAAGCCATCTTCCGAGCTGCACTAGACATGCTCAGCCATACCGCTTGGACTTACTCAGGTGGCTGTAGCTCCAGATGTAGCTGACAACAACATAACCAGCAAGCACCATGGAGATACCACCGAGGCCCCCTTTCTTGACGTTGATGTATTTATTGTAGTATCTGTCGTAACCTGCACAGGAGAAAAGTTTTCACAGCAGCCAGATGAGTTGCGTATTTTTCCTTGTCAGAAAGCAGCAGCAGCCCGGTTTCACAGGTCTTCAGGAAATTGTTTCTAATGAAACCTGTGAGGATCTCAGAAGTGAGTCTGCGAGAAGGCAACCTGTGTGCTAGTTAAGGCAAGGTGAACTCAAGTTAATAGCGCTAAGCCTTAAAAAGAAAAAAAAGGGAAAAAAAGGCCATTTCTCATTTTTTCCCTTAACATTATTGTGACTTCCATGCGCTCAAGCTGCTAATGCTTTCCTTCGAGTGTATATGCAGTATGTAAACACTTGCATTTGATGTTTTTATCTTTAAATCTACCTGAATGCCATACCTGTATCTACAGCAAAGGCATCAGTCAAAGCTTTTGCCAAGAAATCTGTAGGAGCCCTGTGTCCTTTCTTATCATCTCTAAGGATCAACTGGTTTGTTTTTTTTTTAATTTACCTGTGATGTTGGGAAACCTCAAGATTTTCAGCACATACGTTCAGGAGTAAGGTCACCGTATTTCCTCTTTATACAAGAAGGAATACTGAAAACAAACCTCTGGCGGGTAAAGCCCATAGGAGAAACAAATTTACAGATGGGAGAAGACGCTACAAGGCGGCACCGGTCTGGGAAAGCAAAAATCGCCCCGAAGCACCCCTGCACCGCCCGGTGCCCCCTGCCCCAGCCGGCAGCCACGCCAAGCAGCCGGGGATGCCGATGTCCCGATCGGCCTGGCTCCGTCGGGAGAAGGGAGTTGCACCCTCCAGGCCTTCGCCGGCCGAGGGGGTGCGGAGCTGTGTG